GTTACTACTAGCGTGGCACTTGTTTCTAGTAGCTTCTTGTTGTAGACTTTTCCTTTAACTAAGCACTCTGTCAGCAATGCGATGGCCTTGGGCCTCTGCGCTTTCTATACGTCTTGGAATTCACCAAGATCGCTTCTTCTTTAGGTAACGAAGTAAGAAACGATTCTACCGAAGTAACTCCTGAACGGTCTTCGACGTGTTTCAGTAAGAAAAGGAACCTTATAAAAACTACTTCCCTTGGCGCAACCATGATGAAACAGCAACGAAATCTGACACGGCTGAGTTCCGGTCCAATGATTTTCCAAAATGTCTTGCTTCAGATCTTTGATCGCTAAGCTCAAAGGTAGAGTCAACTCCTGCAAGAGGCACAACTGAAAAGAGTTTAGGTTTTGAGCTTCCAACAAGTAGTAGTAACAAGAAGCTAGTAGAAACAAGTGCATCGCTTCTAGTAACAAGTGCCTTACTAGTAGTAACAATATTTGCTATTAGGAACAAGTGCATCGCTTCGAGTGAGCTGAAGGCACTGAGAAACAAGCCATCTCTTGTTCCGAACAGTAGGGTAGTGACGCAGAACACCTACGAAGAAGCATTCTTGTAAAACAAACAGGTCGAAAGACCTAAAAGAAAACGGAGATAACAAAGAGGCAACATGCGCACATCCTGGACTTCCAAAAAAACTCTTGAATGTTTTGCCTGCCACTGTTTGAAGTTTTGAGAGTTGGACTTCATTAGCAGGTATTTGCATCTCTTCTTTTTTCCTGCTTGCTTTTCAGATTCTTTCTTTAGCACTTCTTTCCTTCTCTCTTTCTTTTCCTGACAACAACCCCCTTCTGTTGCAAGAACACGGTCAAAAGGGGATCATCGAAACATCTCTGGCCCTGAAACATCAAAGCCGTTGGTCTCACAAATGCACCCAGGAGGGCCGGTGACAGTGGTTTTCTGAGAGTACTTAAAGTGCTAACCACTGCATCGTCCTTGCTACTAGTAACTAGTAGTGATGCCCTTTGTTACTCGTAGCTTCTTGTTACTACTAGTAATGCCAGGAGCTACTAGTAGCTTCTTGTTCCTAGTAGGCGATGCGATGCCCTTTGATACTAGTTAAGTGCAACATCGTCCTTGGTGTTGTCATCATTGGCGAAGATTAGTTTAAACTGCACCTCGTGAGGAGCAAGTGAACTCGCACGTGAAAGCTGACCATCTGGTTGGGTGAAGTGTGCCACAAAGAGATTCAGGTGAATCTGTGGTACAGCGAATCGTGCTCTAGTGACTCTAGTGCTCTATGGTGACAAAGTCAGCACGGCTGACGATCCAGTCCAGCATAGCTCGGCCTTCGTTGAGTCTACTCCATTCTCCATATCATGAAGTTCGCCTTG